CTTCTCCCCTCCCCCCCCCCAGTCTATGCTTCTTATTTATGCATCAGATCTGCAGTCCCACAGGAGACTTTGTGTGAGGGAAGGGCATGTAGGCAGAATTGCACAGATTTACAGTGCTCATAGGGCTCCTATTACAATCCTTTGACAACCTATAATTGATGGAGAGGGTTTTGCTTTGCTAATAGTCTAGACCTGGGAACTGTCCTAATTCCATGATGCTGTCTTTGGATACAGAATAAAAATTGACCAGAAACTAAACACTGACTTTGGTGAGGGTGTTCCAGCCTGGGTTTGCAAAACAACTGCACTGTGCAAGACATATGTCTTTGACTGATAAAATTTGATAGAACTCTCTTTTTTGTTTTTGTATAACCCTAGTTTTAGAGCCAACAAGCAACCCGAAATGTAATTGACTAAATAATACAATAGAGGTCTACAAAACAGGTATTTCTCCCAAATTTTCCCTGTACAACAAACTTGGCTTTCTACTGCTCACCATAGTTTGAACTGCTTTGTGTGATACTTGTTATTATGGTTCTATGATACTGTAGAATAAGTGAAAACAAAGGTTCTCTAATTCGGTTGCAGTCGTACAGAACTGATAACCTATTAGGTCCTTAGAGCCCGATTTAAAATGAGCTTTTGTTTATGGAGTTCTTGCTTATCTCTATTAGAATTTTTATTTCACAGTAAATTAGCATTGTGCTGATCACTAGCATAATTATTCAGAGAACATCTAGACATTTGCTGTGAGCAAACCACCAAGTTTCAATAATTAAGACTCTTCTTTTTCGTTCTCTGGCCTTTTGACACCATTACTGTCAAACCAACAGCTTGAATGCGAAATACTGAGCTTTGATTACAAACGAAAATTAGCAGCTAAGTTTTTATCCCCTGATCATAAACATCTTTCATTTACTGTAAAAGGATACCATGTATCATGGTTTGGCGATCAAAACCAAGCCTTGTGACTCAGTTTCTTCAGTGTACCAGCATATCATGTCATGAGTCAATCTGCTTCAATAAATGTCCCAGTTTTTCCATCATTTAATTGGTAAATGTCATCAGTTGACAGAATGGGTTCAAACTGCCTAGTATTCTGAATAAATTAGATGGTTTGAGGCGTGTATTCTTCTTAGAACAAGTAATTGCAGATACTCTAATGATTTTACTTATTCCAAGGTGACACCAATAACCAACACAGGAATAACCGAGGCAGAATAAACTAAAGGAGCTACTGGGACACTTATTAATGAGTAAATTATAATCTGCCCTTGATCTGTTTCAGTCTGGTATTAGACCTGGTTTTGTGATGGGGATTGCATTAGTAGCTCTGGCAGATGAGATCTTCATTTACTGAGTGATAATGGAAACGCATCTTTGCTGGTTCAACTTGGCTAGGCTGGTGCCTTTGACATGGTAGGCTGTGCAGTTTTACTGAGACGCCTTGAGACCACAGTGGCCTTCACAAGTACAGTGTTAAAAGGGCTCTGTTGTTTTTTGTTTGGGTGAATCCAGAAAGTCAATGTGGGTAACTATGAATTGGTGTCATGGGAGTGATCCTCTGGGGTTCCACCACACTTAACCAACCTCCAGGTGGGTCTGGAATTCTCTGGGAATTACAACTGATCTCCAGACTACAGAGATCCATTCCCCTGGAGAAAAGAGGCAGCTTCAGATGGTGGACTCTATGGCACCACATCCCAGCAGAACTCCTCTCCCTAAACTCTGTCCTCCCTGGGCACCCCACCCCCCAGTCTTAAGGAATTTCTCAACCTTAAGTTCTACAGAGGTGGATTTTCACAGCAATGTTGTGTTAGACCTTTGAATAAGTTCACAGCTTTGGGGTTGGGTGTTATCAATAGGCTGATGGCACCCTTTATTTCTTTGAGCACCACCTGCAGTCTCTGTTCCGGATCCAGCAGTTTTTCCACTGACTCGAGAGAAAGGGAAGGGTGCATTTTGACCCCTCAAGAGGCTGTGGTGGGAATCATGGGACGAGAGACATGGCAGCAATGAGGGGGAGAATCTGGTGAGTTTGTTCTTTCTTATGCTGCTCCCAAACCCCTTCTCCCCCACATTTCCAAATGCAGCTCAAGGTTTGTAGATCGCCCTCTGAGTGGCTGTATGCCCCTGTTAAGAATCACTAACGTACAGGATCTGAACTTTTAAAAAAAGCTTTACCCTGCCACAAAAATCAATCAATACTCCTAATTCTACCCAACCAAGTTAGTAGACGTGGATTTAAAACCTGGTGTCAGCTCAGTAGCAAGAGAAGACATGGAGTAGGTTGCACAATTCTGGGTTTTTGGTGGCTATGAAAAATCCTCTTACATCACACAGCAAGCTGTCGAAACTTCCAGCAACTCTGCAGCCAACACACCACCAGTCTTTTGCATGCTACGCAACAATTGCATCTGCACAGGAACAGAGAGCCTGCCATGAGACCTTCATTAAGATGCCTTGCAGGATTATTTGTTTTAAAAAAGGAGCTTACATTTTATGAGAAGCTGAGAAATTTGTGAATAAATCTGCCAAGCATTTTAAGTCTTAAATAGCAATGTTTAGAGCCCTTCATTCCGATTATGGCTAGAAACCAGGATTCACCCCTGTGCTGTTTTCCATTTCAAGCCTTCCCACTCAGCCAGCTGATCTGCCCCAGTGTCCTGTGTATTGCAGCAGGGACCCATATCAGTAATGTTGTACTTCAGAAAAAATTGCAAGAGGGCCACATAAAGCCAAACCAGATGGTGGAAGGCTGAGCTTCAATGTATAAACATTATTTATTTATTTATTTTATTTCTAGCCTGCCCTCCCCTGCACAGCAAGGCTCGGGGCAGGTTACAACAAACAGTTAAAATTTATAAATACAGCAATTAAAATATAAATATCATTAAAACCATAAGTTTGTGTGTGTGTGTGTGTGTGTGTGTGTGTGTGTATGTATATATATATTCATTTGCTGAGCATTTACAGGGAAATTTATATATACTTAAATAATCTGATGGTAAATAATACAATTTAGTATCTCCATTCCCACCATAGCTGTTGCCCGACACTGAGGCAGTGGGTGGACGAGAGAGCCGAACAAGATAAAAGATGACAAGTGTTATGTATGGAATAGAATGTATGTATATATTGAGCTTGAGTCTGCTGCAAGGTATTGTAAACCGACTTATCAGAACAAGGGAAGTTCTGGAGGTAAGCAAAGTGATTGGTCTTTATGTACTAGATATGATTGGTTGTTATCTGACATGTGGGCGTGGCTTGCCACGCCTGGACTGTGTAAAAAGGAGCCTGTTGCTCTGTTGTTTGTCTCGTTCTGGTTCTTCTGACTTCTGTTCAATAAAGCTGTTATCACTGTTCACCTGCTGCCTCAAGTCTCGTATCTAACAACAAGCAACCAAAACAAAACAGACTCCCATTGAGGTAAGAGCCTCAGCACCTGGAGGACATATAACCCTATACAAAACTGGTATTCCAGGAGCTAAACCTCTAAGGCTCAGGGTTCCCAACAGGCCTATGGAAAAAGGTCCTTCCTTAGTAGCCTAATGTGTGGAAATGGGTCGTTGACATTCCACGGTGAAGGCAAATAACACCCCATTAAGCCTACATTAAAGAGAGAGGACATTTTTTTCTCCAGGAGATGGCAACCCCAGGACTGGGTAATTGCAGTATTGGAATAAACATACTGACCACACATGCATCTGCAAGCTCTCCCTTAAGTGGCAAAAAGCAACTGGTATTGGGGTGGGGGGGAGTCAATTTCCATAGGGAAAACATTGCATAAGAAAAAGGTTAAAAACCCTGTCCCGTGGTCCTAATTCTTGACTCTTATTTATGCCTCTCAAAATTACAGGAAACCCATTCCTAGATCTCCCGCTAGCACCTCTAGTTTGGCTATAACAGTTAGACTGCCTTGCAGAGTTGTTATAAACCATTCCCTCTTACCTTGGGCCCAACATTATGAACATAGAGTCCCTTAGCCTCAGATGTTCCATGATGGCTTGCATAAGGGGTAGTGGACAGTGCAATTTATATTCATTTGCTGAGCATTTACAGGGAAATATCTGAAATGAGTTAAACTGGAAAAGGCACCATAAGAGAAGCCAATGTTGGGTCAGGCCAATGGCCCATCTAGTCCAACACTCTGTCACACAGTGGCCAAAAATACCAGGGGCCATCAGGAGGTCCAGCAGTGGGGCCAGGACACTAGAAGGCCTCCCACTGTTCCCCCCCCCAAGCACCAAGAATACAGTGCATCATTTGCCCCAGCCTGAGAGTTCCTATCTATCCCTATCCACTGATGGACTTCTGTTCCATATGTTTATCCAGTTTCCTCTTGAAGCTGTCCATGCTTGTAGCTGCCACCACCTCCTGTGGCAGTGAATTCCATGTGTTAATCACTCTTTGGGTGAAGAAGTACTTCCTTTTATCTGTTCTAACCTGACTGCTCAGCAATTTCATGGAGTGCCCACGAGTTCTTGTACTGTGAGAAAAGGAGAAAAGTATTTCTTTCTCTACCTGCTCTATCCCATGCATAATCTTATAAACCTCGATCATGTTGCCCCTCAGCCGTCATTTCTCCAAACTAAAGAGCCCCAAGCGCTTTAACATACTTTGGCTCACAAAAAAAGGCCATATTTGAAAGAGCAGAGCATCCCAGTTACTCAGGAAACATGGTGTGCAAACAAGACGGGGGGAAACAAACACACAACACAAGAAAATTCCCAGTGCGGGACATTGGGGGAACTGGTGGGGAAGAATGCCACAAAAATAAAGAAAAAAGCATGAAACAGCCACACATGCTCACTCACACACACTGGCTGGCTGGAATCCCCGTAAACTAGATTATTTTAAAAGCATTGCGAGTGTTCTTCACTCTCAAAAGAGATCTAAGCCACAGCTGCTGGCACAAAAGAGCATCTCTCGCCTGCTCCAATAAAGTCCGGCTGGCTCTCCACCACTCCTGCCCCTGCCTCCACGCCTCATCACCTCACCGAAAAAGTCATCTCGAGCCCTGACTTGGATAGCCCAGGCAAGCCTGATCTCGTCAGATCTCAGAAGCTAAGCAGGGTCAACTCTGGCAAGTACTTGGGTGTTGGCCCCTAGCTACAGTGGGGCTATTGGGGGCTCTGCCACCTTCCTTAAACGGCCAGCCCCACAAGATTTCCTTCTGAAAATGGTAAGGGATTTCATTGCTTGGGGGTGTTTTTGCATTTCATTTATTAATGGAGTGGCTGTTGTGGGGGTGTTTGTGCTGCATTAAATTAAATTAATTATTAGTATTATTGAATTTATTATT